GTGCTACTTAATGCTGGCAGCAACCTCTGACAAGCTGTGTGACCTTCATCATACTGCTTAACCTCTCTGAGCCTCAGAGTTCTTTTCACATTACAGATGAGGCCTCTAAAGTTTAGATAAGTGCATCCCTACACAGCAACCTCTTCCCTGTTGCCCTGCTCTTCCTCTAAATCATTCTGTCTTCTATCTCTGCTATCTAAATGTCATCAATCCCTTAAGTCTGATCAAAGGTTAGCTCCTCTACAAATTCTGCTTCCAGAATGAAATTAATCTCAGCTTCCTCCAAGCTCTGTAGCATTTTGTTGGTATCTCTGTTGCACTATGGCACTCACCCGGGCAACAGTATGCAATAAAAAAGACCGAGATAAGGACATGACACACTGCAGACTGTGATAAAGACCAGAAAGGAAGCAGAGGCGAAGAACTCAGGAGGATCGAAGGAAGGAAGTTTTCCTCCTTGAAGCATTCATTCCCTGTTTCTCCATTCTGACAGTCATAATATGTCATGATAGCTTTTACAACCCTCACAGCTTTCTAGCTCTAGTCAAAGCTAACTCCATATATGCACTCTCCCTTCAGAGAGTATCACAGGTGGCAGGACAGTTTGGATTCACCTCCACACCCTCCACAGCACATGGCCAAAGGTTGCAAGTACTTAAAAACTCGCATGGCACTGAACTGAGAAAAGCTTGCTGGCTGACAGTATGAGACAGTGCTGAATGACGGTGGAGATGACAGTGATAACAGGGAAGTTAACTGAACAAAACCAAGCAGTCACGAAGGGTGATATACACACAACGTTTCACTATGACTGAGTGAGCAACAGGAGATCCACAAATCAGACCTAGAGATGCAGCCCACTCACTGGCAAACTGAAAAGAAACTGGAAAAAGCATAGGGGTGGGGACTATCTTAACAGCTTGAGCCTGATCTACAGATTAGTGGCAGAAGAAATACTGCTTCCTCTGACTATTTAAAAAATGCAACTTTTTAAATCATTGAAAATATCTTTAAGTAATAAGATGGCAGTGGAGTAAGTGGATGTTGCATGGACACGCTCCCAGAAAAATGCCCTATATAATAAAAAGGTAATATGCAAATTGACCATCACTCTAACACACAAGATGGCTGCCCCCATGTGGTCAAAGATGGCTGCCCCCATGTGGACACAAAATGGCTGTCACAAGATGACCAGCAGGGGATGGCAGTTATAGGTGATTAGGCCAGCAGGGTAGGGCAGTTAGGAGCAACCAGGATGGCAAGGGAGAGCAGTTAGGGGTGACTGGGCCAGTAGGGAAGGACAGTTGGGGGTGACCAGGCCTGCAAGGGAGGGCAGTTAGGGGTACTTAGACCACTTGGGGAGCAGTTAGGCATTGATCAGACAGGCAGGGGCTTGGTTAGGGGGTGATTAGACTGGCAGGCAGAAGTAATGAGGGGCAATCAGGCAGGCAGGTAGACTGGCAGTCCTGGATTGTGAGAGGGATCCCAGATTGGAGAGGGTGCTGATTAGGCTGAGGGACACCCGCCCCCCCCCTCCCCCCTTACCATGCATGAATTTCATGCACTGGGCCTCTAGTCTTTTATATTACTCATGCAAAGGTATCATAGGCAAGGCAAACAATCTCATCTGAGCAAGTTGAGTGCTATTAAATTTCATTATAGTTCCTTTCTTCTACCTGTGATTTTTGCAGTTGAGATCATAATGATTCTATATATTTTATAATATATTCATTTTATTAATAAATAACAGATACATAAAGTACAAAGTTTGGAAGCATCAAAGTCAGTTTCTCTCCAGCTCTTGCCTCCCATATATCCTTGAAGAGGAGTCCTGTTTCTACCACTGAACATTTTTTGAGTGAGTTAATAGCCATTAATCCTTCAAGGTTCTCAGGAACCAAAAGTTATCTACAAGAATGAAACATGTCCCTAATATAACATCTCTGTGCTGATAGAATATACAATTATACTACCTTTATCTCAGTTACATAACCATAATGACACAGCATTCACAAATGACAAAGGTAATTGGAGGGACTCAACTAAGATGCAATCCCTTAACAGGTCATTGTCCAAAAAATTTCCCTGAGATATTCTCAGTATCCCACAGTGGTGCAAGAAGCTCAGAACTTGAAATCAGAGTCTGTATGCCTCTGGCTTATAGGGACTAAGACATTAACCCCAGACCAATGTCCCTAAAGGTAGGTCCCTCCTTCTTCCCAGATTAGGTCTGGCAGTTTTCCTCACCTTATTCTGCCCTTGGGTGCTGGTCTAGGACGTGGGAAGAGTGGGTGGTGGAATTCCAGTTCCAATGAAGCAGTTTAAAGAATGTAATTTCCATAAAATGTAGTTAAAAGAGAGAAAGCTGAACAACCAAGATGGCGGCATAGGTAAACACCTAAACTTGCTACTGAGCACAACCATATCAAAACTACAACTAAAAGTCAAAATGAATATCATCTAGAACCACTGAAAGGCTGGCTGAGTGAAAATTCTACAACTAGAAGGAAAGAAGAAAGTGTATTGAGTCCAATAGGAGGTGTGGAAGTGAAGTGTGGAGGTACGGAGGCATGTGAAAGGAGTACACTGTTCTCTTTTTCAATCATGTAGGAGAGACAAGCTCCCAACTGCTCTGAACTCCAGTTCCAGGTAAGACTCTGGAGACCCGAACTCATATGGAGAGAAACTAGACTGTCTGGCATTGGGCTAAAACGCAGGGCAGCATTCGCTCAGAGGTACTTCCAGCAATCATTGTTCCAGTATGGTACCTGGGGCACAGAGACTCAGGGGCCTCTTTGGAGCAGGACTGATTGGCAGCCATTGTTGTTTGCTCCACCCTGGTGATTCCCTGAGATCCCGCCCCATCCAATTTACAACCCCACCCAAGCTGTGCACAGAGGCTTTTGAATATGAATAGCCTGGCCTTTTGCAATGGGAACCTAAAAAACTGAAGCTAGGTCAGAGAGCTCCAGAGCCACCAAAAGAAGGCCCAAGGCTCCACAGCATCTTGCATTGCTTCACAGTGGGCCTCATCTGGGCACCTCCAAACCCCAACAAAGAGGAGGAATCTGTAGATATCTGTAGCTCCTGCTGGGTGGCTTCAGGCAGTGGCTGACTTTGCACTTCCTTGAAGATGCAAGAGTCAGTGGTCAAAGTGAGACCATCCAGATTACAACTCTTTACATCCATGAGAGACATACTCAGGGGGCAAACTTAGTGAGCACCAAAGCCCTACTGAAGCAAGTCCTGCTCCATAAGGGTGTTTCCAGCACAGAAGTTCTCCCATTGTAGATACAACTAATCCTCACAGCCAATTGGCCTGGAGGTAAATTCCTCCCAGAGATACCAACAGCAATCAAGGCTTAACTATTACAAGACTGTGCACACAGCTCACAAAGGGGTGCACTAAGAAAGTCAACCTCAGGTAATTAGGGAGGCTGAGCTACTGGCCCTATAGGATGCCTAGCACACAAAGCCACTCTATCAACAAAAGGAAGCAACCAAAATATAGAGACAAAGAAACAGGTCCCAAATGAAAGAAATGGAGAAAAGCAAACTACTGGATATAGAGTTCAAAACCATGGTTATAAGGTTACTCAAGAATCTTCTAGAAACCTCAGAGAAATATAGTGAAACCCTCAAAGATATGAAAAAGGACAATTAGAAATTAAGCATACACTGACTGACATAAAGAATAATATACAGAGATCTAACAGCAGACCAGAGGATCCCAAGAATCAAGTTAAAGATTTGAAATATGAAGAAGCAAAAAACATCCAAATGGAAAAGAAAAAAGAAAAAAAAAATCCAAAAATATAAAGATAGTGTAAGGAGCCTCTGGGACAACATACCAACATCCAAATTATAGGGATGCCAGAAGAGAGAGCAAGATACTGAAAACCTACTTGAAGAAATAATGACATAATACTTTCCCTACCTGGTGAAAGAAATAGACTTATAAGTCCAGGAAGTACAGAGAACCCCAAACAAAAGGAATTCAAAGAGGACCACACCAAGACACATCATAATTAAAATGCCAAGAGCAAAAGACAAAGAGAGAATATTAAAAGCAGCAAGAGAAAAACAGTTAGTTACCTACAAGGGAATACCCATATGACTGCAGCTGATTTCTTAACAGAAACTACGGAGGCCAGAAGAGAGTGGCAAGAAATATTCAAAGTGATGAATAGCAAGAACCTACATCTAAGATTACCTTACATAGCAAAGCTATCATTCAGAATTGAAGGTCAGAGAAAGAGCTTCACAGATAAGAAAAAGCTAAAGGAGTTCATCACCAAACCGTATTAAATGAAATGCTGAAGGGTATTCTTTAAGAAGAGAAGAAGAAGAAGAAAAAAGTAAAGATAAAAATTATGATCAACAAAATGACATCAAATACATATTTATCAACAAGTGAAACTAAAAATCAAATGAATAAAAAAATCTGATGAACAGATAAACTGATGAATATAATAGAATCAGGGGCATAGAAAGGGAGTGGAGTGACAATTCTTGGGGAGAAGGGGGTTTGGGGGTGCTGGAAGAGTCTGGACAAAAATCATACACCTATGGACGAGGAAAGTGGGGGGTAAGGGCAGGGGGATGAGGTGGGAACCAGTGTAAGGGTGCTATGGGGGGGGGGAGGAACAACTGTAATAATCTGAACAATAAAGATTTATTAAAAATAAAAAGAGAGAGAAAGCTATTCTCTACTTACCTAAACTCTATCCTCTTCAGACTCACTTCTCTACCCCATCCCCTCCATACACATACAAGTGGGCTCCACACCCATACAAGTGGGGGAGTGGATCCCAATATTTTCCTTGAGATTTGGTGCTGTGTGCTGCCCATTGGCTTACACTGTCACAAATCCTGCCATTCTGAGCATGCACTGTGCCCCCATTCCCTTCCTCTCCCACAGTTTCAAGAGTTTTTAAAGAATCTGCTACAGTTTGGAAGTTTATATACAGTGAAGTGAATTTCTCTCTCTTTCATCCCAGTACCCATCTGATATATAGTTACAGAAGGCATCTCAGATTCACAACACCCTCACCAGCCCCCCACTGAATAGCATGTCATCTGGCAACAGGAGGCGTTTGATTATATTTGGATGGCACTCCTGCATCAACTCCAGTTGTCTCTGAATTGGAACTGATGGGCCTCACGTGTTGCAGCCAACAATTTGCTTTCACCCACTCCCCTCTCTGAAATGAACCATTCTCTGAGAAAACAAGAAACCTACGTGCCATCCTGGGTGAGAGACTAACAGGAACTGTGTCCCAGCATCGCATCCACGCATGGCATCAAGAGCACACTGAGAGGGGTTTCCAACAACAAATTGTGCTTCAAGCTTCTGTGGAAAGACTCTTTGAACCAGAGGAAAAGTTCTCCTCAGAGTATGATAGCCTCTGTGGTCATCTCAGTTCACAGGCATTGAGTTCTTACTGTGTGCCCCAAGCTATTGTCTCCTGTAGCAAGTCTCTATAACTTCACTCTCCCCATTTTGACTTATGTGCTCTGTTAGTAGCTGCTGCAGGCAGAATAATGACTCCCCAAAGATGTCCACATGCTAATCCTCAGAACCTGTGAGTAAATTATATCCTATGGGGAGGGGGTGTTAAGATTGCAGATGGAATTAAGCTGGCTAATCAGCTGACCTTAAAAAAATAGATTAGCTATCAAGGTTACCCTGTGGCCCCAGTGTAGTCACAAATGTCTTAAATAGGGAAAAGAGAAGCAGAAGAGTCATAACCAGAGTGGTGGTATCCTGAGAAACTCAATCTGCCATTGTTGGCTTTGAAGATAGAGGAAGAGGGCATGAACCAAGGAACGTGGGCAGTCTCTACAATTTGGAAAAGGCATGAAAACAGATTCTGCCCTAGAGATTCCTTGGTTTTAGGCCAGTAGGAGTCATTTGAACTCTGACCTCCATAACTAGCTGGTTTGGCTCAGCAGATGGAGCATCAACCTGTGGACTGAAGGGTTCCAGGTTTGATTCCAATCAAGGGCATGAACCTTGATTGCAGGCTCAATCCCAAACCCTGGTCAGGGTGTGTGCAGGAGGCAACCAATCGATGTGTCTCTCTAACATCAATGTTTCTCTGTTCCTGTTTCTCTCTCTATCTCTCCCTTTGCCTTCCACTCTCTCTCTAAAAACAAAAACAAGACAGACACTGTGGACTTGCCATATGCCAGGCCTGGTACCAGGTACTGAGGGAACATTTCCATGGCATGTAATTTGTACCTTCTTATACCTATCCATCATCATCAGGGTCCAACCAGGGAAATGGAAGCCACTCTGTCTAAACACAGGAAATCTAATTCAGGTTATTGGCTACACAGGTGATTAAAGTTGGGAAGCCAGTCCAACCATTAGCAATAACAAGAGTTGCTACCAGGCTGCACTAGAGGGACAAAGAGAGAAGGTCACCAAGTGAAACCTGGACCATGAAGGGCCTGTCTAGCAGGAGCTAGAGCCATGAGGGGACAGAGCCCTGCTATAGAAGATGCCTGAGGAAGAAAGGGAAAGAGAGAGAGATACGCTGCTTCTCCATTTCTTCTACCTTTAATCTTCTGCCAGTGCCTCCCAATGCCTGTTCCCAGATGAAAGGCAGCTGGCATAGGATCTTGGGATACACAGTGTCAGCCCTCCTACAGTACAGAACAGAGCTGGGAAAAAGCAGTGAGCGGATTTGAGGAAGTATAAGCCAAAGATCAGCAGATCCCTCCTTTTTGCACCGATCACCATGAATCTTGAAACTTGATTACCCAATTGTTTTTTTTTTACCAGGGCTTTGAAGCCCTTTCCCAACTTTTCTACCCTTTTTCATAGAGTGTTCCTCATTATTCACAGCACCCCCACCACTCTGGCCTTTGCTCTGATCTCAGCTTGACAGGCAAGTTTCATCTTGGGGCACTTGTATTTTGTATACGCTACTGGACTCCCATCCCTTGCCTCTCCCCTCACTAGTCACTTTTTTTTTTTCTTTTTCATTCCAGTCTCAGCTCAACTATCATTCGCATAGATAACCCCATCCCCCATTTAAAACAGACCTTCTCATCCAGAACCACTATCACATTCCCTTGTTTTATTTTCTTCAGAGAACCTGCTATTATCTGAAATTACCTTCATTGTATGTTTGTTTATCATAACCTTTCTGGAACTATAAGTGCCTTGAAGGTAGAAATCCTGTCTTGTTAGTTGTTATATTATTATAAAGTTGGCTAGATGTCCACCAAAATATGTTTCTTTTTCTTGGAAATACAATAAGGCTCATTCCATATTCCTTTGTAGTTGGGTGTGACAGAGCTTCGCATAATGGCACATGAGTGGAAATATCTAGTGTTGCTTCCAGGTCTGACTGTGAACACCTCCCATATACATTGCTACATTCTTTTTCTTTCTTGCCAGATAATGACAAGGCCCTTGGGGATGATAGAGGCACAAGACAAAAGGAACCTGGGCTCTTCAATGACTACGTGAAGGAGAGTTGCCCCAGCAACCTACATACATATCTTGGACTGTTATGTGAATGAGAAATAAATATGTTTTGTGATGAGTCATAACATTAGCCTACCCCAGTGATTGGCAAACCGTGGTCCAAGAGCCACATGTGGCTCTTTGGCCCCTTGAGTGTGGTTCTTCCACAAAATACCATGTGCGGGCGTCCACATGTGATTGAAACTTAGTGGCCCATGCGTAGAAGTTGGTTTTCGGCCTGGGCGAGTTTATTTTGAAGAAGTGATTCTAACACTGAACCACACTCAAGGGGCCAAAGAACCACATGTGGCTCAGGAGCTACTGTTTGCTGACCACTGGCCTACCCTAACTAAAACAATTCCCAATGTCTTGTCCATGATTGGTTCTCAATAGTTATTGAATAATTAAATATTAAACTCTCAGTAATTATGCATTCAGTGATGGGATACTTGTTTCTTATCCTCATTCTCCTCCTACGAAGCTCCCGAAGGAAAGGGAAGTGTTATATTAATTTCTGTGCTCTCATTGTCTTCCATTGACCTTAAACCTTTGTAGATTCAATCGGTGTGTTTCACACTGAGTTTGCAGGCAGCATGAGGGACACAATGATTGACAAAGCATGGTCTAGAAGTGTAAGTCTAAGGAGGAGTTCGACATTGCTATAAGTATCAATGTTTGTGCAACAATTTAGAGTTTACACAGGGTTCTTTGCCTGATCCTTATAAAAACTCTGAAAGGAAATTACTATTGATTCCCATTTTACAGATGATGAATCTGAGCTCATAGAGGTTAATTATTTTGCTCAAGATCTTATTTTGTCAAGCAACAAAGCTGGAATTAATTGATTGTTCAAAAGTATCTATGGAATGCCTATGCTGCCTTAGCCAGTGGCTCAAGCTGCTGCACGTAGTAGGGCTCAGGAAATATGAGAACCCAAAGTTCTGCAGAAACTAGAATCGCCTTCCAGAAAATAAAAGGGAGGTGCCAGTTCTAGCCAAGGTCTGATGACTGAAAGAATTGCCTGTGACTTAGTGCAAGTTTCTGGGTGGTCTGCCAGACTTGTCCGGGAGGCAGCAACAGCATAATCACCCCCAGCAGTTCTCTCACTGGCTCAGGCTAACGACCCTGGCGTTCTCCTTCTGCCCTTTTCCATACATTCTTTCCTCCTTCCCATGCCAAGATGTCAGTAGATGATTCAGAGTGGGTTCCAGGCCATTTAGCTCAGTCAGAAATTTGGGTGAAAGTTTCCTCCCACCCATCCCAGGCCTCAGATAACCCATCCGGGTATGACAGCCCGCGTGAAGGAGGGGGAAGAAAGGCCATGAAGATTTCCAGACCCGGGACTGGAGCAAGAGTTTCTGCAGCTGCAGTATTTATCCTCTCTATTCTGGCTGTACAAAGTGTATCAGAATTGGGTTGGTAGGAAAACTTGGGACAAAAAGCCAGAGAAGGCAATGTAACTTGTCTAAATAGAAGCAGGAAAGTCCGCCCAGAGGGTCGCCTGCAGGCTGGGCTATTTGCCAAGGCAAAGAGGGTGAGTGCTGGTGTTTAAGGGGCAGGTAGATGAAGAGGAAGAGGAAGGTGACATGGCCAGGTCTGCTGAGGCTCAGCCTTTCCCAGCTTGAGGACACTGCCCTCCGTGCTCGGGTGCCTCTCTCTGTAAATATTAAAACCCAGCTGCTCTTACAGTGCAGGATGTCCCACATACCGTACCTGTGAGGCGGGGTGAAATACAAATATGCCTTTTCATAATAGCTTTACACCTGGGGCAGCAAAGGACTGGTTTATTACCTTGGTAAACAAAAGTCAGAATTTAAGAAGGTACAAACTTTGCCCACGGCATTTCTGACTGTGCACCTTGTGTTTGTGAAATGAATTCGATCTATATGATGTGAAGCAATGGAAGGCTGGGCTTTTTTTTCTCTTTGCTCTCTCTCTCTTGTCTGATTTCCAAGGTTTAAAAAGTTTGTGTGGGGTTGGCGTGGAGAAGGAATTTGCTTTGGCTCTGATTTTTTCAAGTGTTTTGAAATCATGCTGTTTTGTGTGAAAAAAAATATATATATGTGAGCCAATTTATATTGTTTTCCAGAGAGAGAGCGCAATTCTTGCCGCTTTCAGGGTGACACCAGGGTTTGTGGGTGGGAGACAGGGTAAACCTTAAACATTAAAAGCAATAATAAAATATTTATCCAGCGCCTATTTTGTGCCAAAGGCAGAACATGAATTTTCATAAGCATTGTTTCATTTAATCTTCATAACTACAAGTGAGTGAGAATTGTTGATCAACATGTCCACTTTATAAGGGAGGAAACTATGGTTGCTAAAGAAATTCAAGCCCTAGTTTTCTAATCCCAACTTCAGGGTTTCCTGTATAGTCCTCCAACCTCTATAGGGGTCATAGACCATATTTCGCCAGGTAATTTTGCTTGCCTCCCTGATACCCTCTTTTTTTTTTTTTTTTTTTTTTTTTGTCTCATTCTCTGCCTGCACTTGGGGGAGAGGACTGATCTCCATGCTTTGATGAAATTCTGCTTCGAGGATTTACAACTCTTTAGAAACCACATGGCCATCTGGACCACTCTCACCGAGCAGCACTTCCATAGGTTCAAGTGCAAAGGATTCAAAATATGTGGATTACTTTTCCCTTCAAATAACACATAAGCATTAAAGCAAAGGCAATAACGGTGAAGTGAGAACATATATCATGTTCAGTGGTCTCCATGAATGTCTCTGCCTTCTCTCACCTCCAGCCCAAATAAGTCAGATAAGCTTCAGCAAAAGCATCTGAATTTTTTGGGTTCTTTTCCCAAACAAGCCTTTGAACCTGAAGAACTTTGCCCATCTCTGTCTGCATGTTCACTCCTCAAACGTTCAGGGGAGGTTTGCCTGATACACAGCTCAAGCAGATTACTTCCCAAGCCTTCTAAAATGAGAGTGAACTCATTAGACTTATATTTAAAAGAAGTCTATATTGATATATCAATTTATGCCTGACTTCATATTAAACTGAGGCTAGAAAGAGCAGGTGTCCTTAAGGCATTGTCAACTCAGCAGTTTCAAGGTACCAGAGCCAAGGCTGCTTGTGCTTGGTAGGATTTCAGGGGAAACCCCAGTCCTCTTCCCCCAACTTCCTTTTCATCACCAATCCCTACCATTATTGTTTCTTTAATTGCAGCTCCTTGAGGAATACCTTTGGCATTATGGATTGAAAGTTTTTATAAAACTATAAAAATACACATACTAAC